GGATAGTGCACTGGGCTTGGAATCAAGAAGACTCATCAAGAGGCTAAATATGGCCTCAGACATTTACTAGTTGCTTGACCCTGGGCAAGTCCCTGTTTGCCACAGTTTCCTCATCTGTAAAATGAGCTGGGGAAAGAAATAGCAAACCACTCCAGTATCTTTGCCAAGAAAATCCCAAATGGGGTCATGAAGAGTCAGATATGACTGAAACAACAACAAGAAATTGTGAATTTAAACTTCTAGAGAAAAGGCATCTTTGTCTTCCTCTAGCATTTTGTCCAATCCCTAGCACCATGCCTGGAACATAGTAGGTGCTTAATAAATGCTGTTGGATTGATGATTGATTAATGTCTTTGTCCTCTGTGTCCTTAGGATCATGTCTTATGTTTCCTGGTGTCTTCCACATCTATACCATGTAATAAACATAGCTGGTTGATTGATAAATGCTCTATCAATGTTTGATGATGATGGTGACAAGCAAGTCAAGGGATAGGTGGAGACATGGGTGATCTTAAGGTGGCAGCCAGCTCACTTAGCCAACAGTCTTTGGATTTAAGAGTGAAAGGCAGGAGTAGCAGGGAAGATGTCTCCTCCAGTACATTTGACCTGACTGTAAAACAGGACTAGAAAAACATTTTCACAAGCTAAGGTATACAAAGCATCTTTACCTGTTGGGCCAGGAAGCTTCGTGGGATTCTGTCAAGCACAGCCTTCCAGCAACTCAGCAGGGAAGCCTCTGCAGGACACAGATTCCGACTCCTTTTGTTTCTCACCAGTTCCCAATGTGTCCATTTTCTGCAGCATTTGAATTCAATGAGTCTCCTTTTGGAAATCAACTAATATATGAAAGACTAGAGAAATCCATCTCAATCTAGGCAAAGCTTCAGTTTTCAGAAGACTATACAAATCTTTGGTGGTGGTGATGGTGGCGGTGTTTTTTAATGAAGTAGCCAAAGAAGCAGAAACTGCTGATAGTGACAGCTCAGAAGATGAAAATTCCATGTATTCCATAAAATTTGGAGTTTATGTTTATTTTGTTTTTGTTGGAGGAGGGGAATTGGAGGAAGGATCTCTTCTCCCTCCCTCTATTGGCTGCTTACATCAAAGCAAGAACTTCTCACATCTATTTGACCCTACAGTGAAAACCAATTACCCAATGTACTATAACTACATATATATATATAAAACATATTGTACAACAATATGTATCATATAATTATATATAATGTAATATATATATAAACTATATAGGGTATTCTGAAAGTCTTACTGTAATACTAAGCTTTAAATATTAAATATGAAAACTTAAAACTTCATCAAGACTTTTGAAATACCCTACATAATTATAGCAGCCTCTTCTTTTTTCAAGTTTTTGCTTTTTTTTTTTTTTTTTTTTGCTTTTTGCTTTCTCCCTTCTCCTTGTAAATCAGCAAAAATTATGAGCTCCCAGTTTGGCAGCTTGTACCTACATTTGTATCAAATACTAAAAATCAAAATTAAAATTCACTAAAATTAAAAGTGAGCCCAGCTAGGAAATGTGTAATTATTGTCCGAATAAACTACATTGCTAAATTTAATATAGCAAACATAATTATTTTATAAGCAAACCAAGTTATACATGATATATTTTTATATCTCAAAACTAACAGAATGACTTTAAATTGGCAAAAGGAGCTAAAAAAAAAACCCAGCTAATATTTGTGTAAAGGAGAAAACTGCCCTCCTCACCTCAGTTAATGTAGTCACAGAAGGCCCAGAATGCAATCATAAGGTATTAATGAAGTGTTAAAGGAGTTTTCCAACAACCACACAATAATGGGAATAAATGTTTAATCAACTTGAGAGGATTACAAGGCCTAGTCCAGAGATGGGAATCTGCTGCTTCAAGGCCACATGTGGCCTTCTAGGTCTGCAAGTGTGGCTGTTTGACTGAATCCAAACTTCACAGGACAAATCCCCTTAATAAAAGGATTTGTTCTGTAAAAATTGGACCCAGTCAAAAGGCCACACCCGAGGACCTAGAAGGTCACACGTGGCCTCGAGGCCACAGGTTCCCCATCGCTGGCCTAGGCCTTTGGATGAAGGAACTGACTCCATGCAGGAAGCATCTTGTGATAGGCTGAGAGAATAAGTGATACCCTTTGGGCTTATATATAAAAACAGCAACCTGTTTGGCAGTTTAAAAGCCCAGGCTCAGGAACACTTGGTGGAGGCCTATATCAGAGGAAGGAGAAGAAAAAGACATCAGACATACCATTGGAGATAATACATCCAGAGGGAGCAGAAGCACATCCTATAGGACATACAAGTTATAGAGAGATAGTCAAGGGAAGAAGCAGTAGCAGTATGACTCCTTCCAGGTGGGAAAGGTGTCAGCTGTGGATTCAAGAAAGGAGCAGTCTGTGGGAGCCCAATAATGTGGACTGATAAGCAAGACAATATACCTAAAAGGAGTTACGTGAGGACTCTAGGAAGAGAAAAAAGAGGAAAAGACTTTAAGAGTTAGGAAGTGTCCTTTGCTACATATGTATTGTACATGTGCCTCACTACCAAGTTTGACCCCATTCTTCCCATAGACACAGTGTGTATTTATGGGAGAATATGCCCTCAGTTTAGGGGAGGGGGAATGTTTTATGCCAACTGCTCTTACAATACCATCTTTGTTGTTGTTTGGTCATTTTTTAGTTGTGTCCAACTCTTTTTGATCCATTGGGGGTTTTCTTGACAAAGATACTGGAGTGGTTTGTCATTTCCTTCTCCGGCTCATTTTACAGATGAAGAAACTGAGGCAAACAGGGTTAAGTGACTTACCAAGCTAGTAAATGTTTGAGGTCAAATTTGAACTCAAGAAGATCAGTCTTCCTGCCTCTAAGTCTGGCACTCTATCCACTGTGTCACCTAGCTGCCTACAATACCATCTCAGCCTTTGTTAGAAAGCAAATTGTGCCTCATGGCTGATTATTTTTTAATAGTATTTTATTTTTTTCCAATTACATGTAAAGAAAGTTTTCAACATTCACTTCTATAAGATTTTGAGTTTCAAACTTTTTTCTCCCTCTCTTCCCCCTCCTCCCTCCCTAAATGGCAAGCAATCTAATATAGGTTATACATGTACAATCATATTAAATGTATTTCCATATTAGTCACATTGTGAAAGAAGAATCAGAAGAAAAGGGGAAAACCAAGAGAAAGAAAAAAACAACAAAAAAGATGAAAATAATATGTTTCTATCTGCATTCAGACTCCACAGTTCTTTCTCTGGATGTGGATAGCATTTGCCATCATGAGTCTTTTGGAGTTGTCTTAGATCCTTGCATTGCTGAGAAGAGCCACGTCTATCAAAGTCAGTCATTGCACAATGTTGCTGTTACTGTGTACAGTGTTCTCTTGATCTATTCACTTCACTCAGCACCAGTTCATGTGAGTCTTTTCAGGTTTTTCTGAAATCTGTTTATGGCTGATTATTAAAGGGAAGCACAGTGGTAGGGGCTTGTGAGCTATGGTTGAAGGGATAGCCACCTACAGGGTTAGAGGTTACAGGTTACAGGTCCCTAGAACCTGAGGAGTAGTAACCTTTCAGAACCCAACCAGAAAATTAGAACACAAGCTAAGGGAGTAGCCCAGAGAGTGTGTTACATTTGTATACGTTCCAATCCCTCACCCCCTTCACCACCACTCATTTCCCACTTTTCTTTTTCTTCATATCAAGTGGGTGCTATTTTAATAAATGTTTATTTAATTTTCTCTCTAGACCACAATTTTTTCATAGAATTTAGAGTTCTTGTAAGCTTAATAGTTATCTGGAAAAAATAGAATAAACATATCCAATAAAGTAAAATCTTAAATAAAATCCTTAACACTTAACAAATTAATAACAAAATTTCAAATAACAAGCAGGAAAAAACAAACAACACTTGTTCCATCTACTCTTTTGGGTCCATCTGAAGATCTAGTTCTTTTTTTAAAATTTTTATTAATTTATTTTGATTTATCAACAATCACTTTCATAAGCTTTTGAGTTTTAAATTTTTCTCCCCTTCCTTGCTTCCTCCCTCCCCAAGATGGTGCACAATTTGATATAGGCTATACATAAACATTCCTATTAAACATATTTTCACATTAGTCATGTTGTAAGGAAAAATTAGAACCAATAGGAGGAATCACAAGAAAGAGGGAACAAAACAAAACAGAAGAAAATAAAATAGCAAATAGTATGCTTCCATCTGCATTTGAACTCCATAGTTCTTCCTTTGGATGTGGGTAGCATATTTCATCATGAAACCTTTGGAGATGTCTTAAATTCTTGCATTGCTGAGAAGGGTTAAGTCTATCAATGTTAGTCATTGAACAACATGGCTGTTACTGTGTACAATGTTCTCCTGGTTCTGCTCACTTCACTCAGCATCAGAGCATACAAGTCTTTCCAGGTTTTTCTGAAGTCTGCCTGCTCCTCATTTCTTATAGCACAATAGGATTCCATTACATTCATATACCACAGCTTGTTCAGCCATTCCCCAGTTGATGAGCATCCCCTCAGTTTCCAATTCTTTGCCACCACAGAAAAAGCTGTCTAGCCCACATTTTTTACTCAATGGCATTAAAAGCTCACTAAGAGTTAGGATGTAATCTTGGGCTGTATCAAGAGAAGAACAGTTTCCAGGAATTACATAAAAATAGTTCTACTGGACTGTGCCCTCAGTAGATCTCATCTGGAGCACTGGGTTCAGTTCTGGGCACCACAGTTTAGAAATGGCATTGATGAGTGCCAGAGCACCCCAAAGGAGGCAATCAGGATGGTGAAGGGCCTCCAGCCCATGTCCTATGAGGATCAGTTAGAGGAAGTAAACAAGCATGGTTAGCCTGGAGAAGAGAAGACTGAAGGGTGACATACTAGCTGCCTACAAGTATTTGTAAGACCAGTCTGAAAGAAGATTAGCTTTGTTCTCTTTGACCCTAGAGGGAAACCAGACATAATGGGCAGAGGGAGAAGCCTGCAGAGCTTAGAAGCTTGCAAGCACAGGGTGGATGGCCACCTGGCGGGTGTGTTGTAGTGGGGATTCTTGCTTGGGTACAGGTTGCACTAGATGGCTGCTAGGGTCCCTCCCACTTCTGAAATTCTGTGAGTCTGTGAAAGATTCCCAGAAACTTTACATCTCATGACTTATGCATGACACGGTGGAAAGAGCACTGGTTTTGTAGTCAGAGGACCTGGGTTCAAATCTTCACCATAACCCTTACCACTTCTGTGACCTTGGACAAATCATTTAGCCCCCTGGGCCTCAGTTTCCTCATTTGTTAAATGAGGGGGTTGGACTAGATGGCCTCTCAAGTCCCTTCCAGCTCTGGATCTAGAATTCTAGGGTCCCAGGATTTGTGCTTGGTCCCAAACAAGCCAAACACAGGAGGTTAGAGA